TCCAAGTCATGCATATGTCCACTGGTGATGGGTCTTAAGGAGGGCACGTACTGCATGGAGCACTGGGTGTTATACATGAACAGTGAATCATGGAACACTACATCAAAAACTAATGATGTGCTGTACACGGACTAATATAATAAAAAAATAACGTGCAAGATAGACTAATGGTTTTAGCCATTCTGACAGGTGTAAAGTGATATCTCATTATGGTTTTGATTTACATTTCTCTGGTAATTAGTGACAGTGAATATCTCTTCGTGTGTGTTGGTCATCTGTATGTTTTTTTTTTTTTTTTTTTTTTTTTTGGCGGGGGAATGTCTAGTCAGGTCCTTTGCCCCTTTTTAGTTAGATTATTTGTTTTTTTGGTTTTGAATTGAGTAAGTTCTTTATATATTTTGGATATTAATCCATTATCAGATATGTCATTTGTAAATATCTTTTCCCATTCAGTAAGTTGCCTTGTTGTTTTGCTGATAGTTTCCTTAGCTATGCAGAAGCTTTTTACTTTGATTTAGTCCCAATAGCTTAAATTTGCTTTTGTTTTCCTTGCAGGAGAGGCATGTCTAGAAAAGTGTTTCTATGGCTTCTGTCAAAGAAATTACTGCTTATGTTTTCTTCTATGAATCTTATGGTTGAACACTGAGAAATGCATAGAATTTTTGAATTGTTATATTGTACTCCTGAAACTAATATAATACTGTATGTTAATTATACTTGAATAATAAAAAGACAGACCAATGGGTCTTATGTATCAGTATGAGAAGTTCATTAATATGATTTCAGCTCCACATTGCAATTCACCTTAAAAAAACTACTACTTACAGAGTTCTAGTGTAGTATCAAAGAATAATATCCACAATTATCTGAAAAGGGTATTAAAATACTTCTCCCTTTACAACTATATAATATAATTACGTGAGGCTGGATCTTTTCCATATACTTCAACCATAACAAATGGCAGCAGTTTGAATGCTGTGAAAGCAGATAATGGGAATCCAGCTGGATCATATAAAGCCAAACATTAAAAATATTTACAAATATGTTTAAAAGGACCACTCTTCTCATAAAATTATTTTTGCTCTGGAAAATATAGTTTTTTCATTAAAATATTTTATGTGGGGCACCTGGATGGCCCAGTCATTAAGCGTCTGCCTTTGGCTCAGGTCGTGATCCCAGGGTCCTGGGATCGAGCCCCACATCAGGTTCCCTGCTCCATGGGAAGCCTGCTTCTCCCTCTCCCACTCCCCGTGCTTGTGTTCCCTCTCTCGCTGTCTCTCTCTGTCAAATAAATAAAATCTTTTAAAAAATAAATAAAATATAATATTTTATGTGGACATAAAATGGATTTATTTTTAAGTGAATTATTTAAGAATGTCTATTTTAATTCCTAGCACGATAAAAATTGATAGATAACCCCACATAAACAAGAACTCTTTGGGATGTCAAGAAATTTTAAGATTGTAAAAAAGATCCTAAGGTCAAAATGTTTGAGAACGTTTGGGCTAGATTTTGCTATTTTGACAAAGGAGCCCCCAAATCTCAGCAGCTTACACAAAATGATCTCTCATTCACACTACAAGTCCATTGGTGTTGGCTGAGGGAATGTGCTCATTGTTTTCTCAGGAGACCAGGCTCACGGAGAGTATATTTCATCAAGATTCTACACTCATAGGGCACCTAGGTGGCACAGTTAGTTGGGGATCAGACTCTTGGTTTCAGGTCAGGTTGTCATCTCAAGGTCATGATCTCAGAGTCGGGGGATCGAGCCCTCTTGGGGTCCATGCTCAGTGCTGAGTCTGCTTGGGATTTTCTCTCCCTCTCCCACTGCCGCTCCCTCACCCCTTAAATAAATAAATAAATAAATAAATAAATAAATAAATAAATAAATAAATCTTTTAAAAAAATCAACACTTCAATAACAAGAAAAATGGCAGGATGGCAGAATCTGCAAAGGCTTATAAACGTTACCTGGAAGTTACATATGCTACTTCCACTAACTAGTCATCTTTCTAAGAAAGCCACATGGTCACACCTAACTTCGAGCAGGCAGTAACACTTAATTTTGCCACATACCCAAAAGAAAAACCAGAAATATTTAGTGAACAATACTAATGACTACCATGCATGCCGATTCGAATCCATACACTGAGTTAAAAAGGATTATGAGGCTGCATCTTAGAGAGCTCCAGAAGCTTATTAGCTTTTATTGCTGCTGAAACAAACTACCACAAATTTAGTGTCTTAAAGCAACACAAATGTATTTTCCTATGGATCTGGAGGTCAGACATCCTAAAATCAGAGTGTGGACAGAGATGCATTCCTTCTGGAGTCTCTAGGGAACAATCAGTTTTTTGCCTTTTCCAGTTTCTAGAAAATGTGAACTATAGCAATATTTATCCCTTAAACCAAAAGCAATTGAGCACCTGCTAGATATGAGGTACTATTCTAAATGCTGGGGATGCTAGGCTGAACAAAAGTCAAAGTCCCAACTATTATAGGGCTTACATTCTAGTGGAAAAAAGAACTGAAGAGGTAGATAAACACCCATATATACTAGGAGATTGATATGCACAACGAGGAAAATTATGGCAGGAAAAAGTAATTGAGAATGATATGAAAGGTGCTATTTTAGATAAGGTGGTCAGAAAAGGACTTTCTGATCAGACAATGATTGAGTACATCCCTGAAGAAAGTGAAGGAACAAATCACAATATCTAGAGGCAGAACATTCAGGCATTAAAAATAGTAACAAAGAGGTCTTAATGTAAGAGGATGCTTGGAATGTCTGAGAGACAGCAAGGAGGACAGGGTGTTCCTAGAGAGGAGGAGAGGAGGAGATGAGGTCAGAGAGTGAGCTCAAGTGCAGTAATAATGCAGCGTCTTAAGGACTATGATAGGAACATAGCCCTTATTCTGAGATGGGCAGCCAAAAAACCATTTACTTATAGGAGTGTTATGATACAGGTGACATTTTTCAGGGGTCACTGACTACTGTGGGGAGAATATAACCCTGGGACAAGCTTAAAAGCCAGAAGACTAGTCAGATGGTCTTTGCAATAACATAGGATGGAGATGATGTTGATTTAGATGAGAACTGTAATGGTGAAGGTGGTGAGAACTGTCTGGATTCTGGATATAGTTTGAAAAAAGTCAATAGATATTCTGATGGATAAAATTATGTGGGTATGAAAGAGTCATTACCAAAGGAGTCATTACCAAGAAAAGTGGTCACTCTTTAAAACAGAAAGGAAAGGAAGGGAAAGGGGAGAGGGAAGGGGAGGGGGAAGACAAAGGGGAGAGAGAGGGGAGTGGAGGAGGGGAGGGGATGAGGGGTGGGAAGGGGGAGGGGAGGGAAGAGGAACGGGCCTTCATCCAACTTCTCAGTTGAAAGATTTTTGTATCAGAATGAATAGGGCGCCTGGGTGGCTCAGTCGGTTGAGCGACTGCCTTCGGCTCGGGTCATGATCCTGGAGTCCCTGGATCGAGTCCCTGGATCGAGTCCCTGGATCGAGTCCCGCATCGGGCTCCCTGCTCGGCAGGGAGCCTGCTTCTCCCTCTGACCCTCCCCCCTCTCATGTGCTCTCTCTCTCTCATTCTCTCTGTCAAATAATAAATAAAATCTTTAAAAAAAAAAAAGAATGAATAGATTTTTCTGGAAAAGTAGTTCTCTGACTTAGGGAAGTCCTTGGATATCAGTCAGAAGAATGATAAATCTTATATAAACAAAAAATGTTTATCTACCATCAAAAACTTGAAAGAAAAAGATTTGAAATGGTGTTAGGCAAATTGGCCACATGTAGTTTCTTGTGCACATGTGTATAGTCTATGAGAAGTAATTTCTCTTTTATGAGTCCCAGTTGATGATGTAGCTTTCAACATTATTACATCATGATTTACTATTATCTAATCCAAAACTGAGTAAAATGGCACTGTCCTTCTCTGAACAGAATACAATTTCTCTTAAATAGATGTTTTAACAAGCCTGTATGAAGGTCACATTTGCTGTCAATTGCACAGTCTCAGCCTAAGGGGAAAGGCCATGCCAAATAAAGCAAGACACTAGTCCGAGGTGGACTGTTCCTCCACAAGGGAGACAGAATTTGCTAGTGCCATCTACAAAGGCCAGTTCTCCATTTCTTTGCAAAATATTGATATTAATGCATTGATTAAGCTGGATAGAACTAATAAGCATACATGTTATTCATCCATTTTTAATGTATGAGAACATTTTAAATAAATGATGTTTTGTTTTAATCTACTTTTGTTTCAACAGCCAGACACTGAATCCTGAGTCAGGCTACACTGAGAACAGACCTCAGAAAATTGTGTTATAGATATCTCATTTCTATTTTCAATTCATCACCAAGTTCCTTTTATTTTCTGATTATCATTAGGATATATCCACTTGTCCCTCTTATCACCATCACCATCCTGATGCAAGCTAGAGTCATCTGGGGCCCAGGAGTAGCAAGATCCTCCCACCTGACCTCCGCATGGATATTGCCCAGCTCCAAACCTTCTTTGAAGAGCAATTGGAATGATCCTCTTTAAAACTCAAATCACATATTATTCTTCAGCTTAAAATCTTCCAAAGGCCTCCTAGTTCACAGGATAATAAAACACCACTGGAGACCTGCACATGACTGTAACTGGCCTCTCCATCCTCTTCAGCAGGAGGCCCCTGCTTCCCTTACTGCTCTTGGTCTGCCCTTCTCAGGACTAGCTCTGCTTCCCACCATTCCAGCATCTTTGCGCAAGCTGTGCCCCTTGCCGGGACACAACTTATACCCACCTGCTCCTGGTTCATCTCGCTTTCAGATCTCTAACCACTCTGCTTTTTTTCAGAGAACATTTCCCTAACCATGCCACTCTACCCCAACAAGATGAGATCTCCCTGTTACATGCTCTAATCACCCCACATTCCTCTAGCTCACAGAACTTAGGAAGGTAGCAACTTTAAACTGTGCAATTATTTGATTAATGGTTGTCTCCCTTACCAGACAGCAAGCTTCAAGAGGGGGGCACCCACGTCAGCTAAAGCTCAGCAGCCTGCCACAGAGTAAGATAGACACTCAGTAACTATTTGGGTGATTAACATAACATAATTAAAAAAAAAAAAAAACAACAGAAAAACAAATGCATATGTAAATTATTCACAAAACAAAGGAAACATTTAATAAAAGAAGAGCAAGAATGCAGTATGTCAAAATACTTGAGTAAAAGTGAAACATGTATTTAGAATCTAGAAATTTAAATAATCAACTATAATTGTGAAATGGATAATTGCATGAAAAGAGGCTTGGTAAATGCAGATCTTTTGATTTTGTTCAAAGGCCACTCATCTGTTCATCCGCTGCCTTGTGGGCCTGCAGAAAACCTTACAATTTTTTTTGCTGTATGTTAACAGCCATAAACCATAATGGTAAGTATTAGGATTTTTTTTTTTTTTATATTAGTGCTAAGAAAGAGATTCAGATGCCACTAATTAATGCACTTAGAAAGCAAATGAAACACATGTCAGAAACAGAGCCTCGAGAAATAAGTGAATCAGAGAACCATTTCAGGGCATGGAGCCCAAAATTATAGGTCTAAAAAGTGACTGGGCCATTCACCCTTTTATCTTTGGAGGGCAATGTTCAAAATGTATTGCAAACATATCACCAGTCTTACAATCTGAATGAGTTCAATTTCAGTTGCATGAATACATACACAAGACAAATGTTCTCCCTGCTCTGCAGCAATCATAAAGCTTTTCTTAAAAGACAGTCTGCTTTCCAATCAGTGTGAGACAAATCTGTGCATCCTTCTAGGAGGACTGTACAGTGGTTCTTTGTCTGATCTTTATTTAGCTTAAAGACTCAAAACAATAAGCTCTCAAACATTTGTCTTTATATTTAACAAATAGAAACCAATGTTGCCCTGGATTCTAAAATGTACAAAAATACTTCTAAAAATGAAATAATAAAAATAATGTCGAGTTTTATAGTTCAGGTTGGCCCAACATCTCCCTATGAACATAGTAAGAATTGTTGTTGACATTTTTAAGAAGGAGTAAATCCGTTTTTTTTTTTTTTTTTAAGAGAGCGTTCACAAGCTGGGGTGAGCAGAGGTGATGGGTAGAGGGAGAGAGAGATAATCTTAAACAGATTCCATGGACACAGGGCTTGATCTCACAACCCTGAGATCATGACCTGAGCCAAAATCAAGAATCAGATGCTTAAGCCACTGAGCCATCCACGCACCCCAGGAGTAAGTCCATTCTTTTTTTTTTTTTTTAAGATTTTATTTATTTATTTGACAGAGACAGAAATAGCGAGAGCAGGAACACAAGCAACGGGAGTGGGAGAGGGAAAGCAGGCTTCCCGCCGAGGAGGGAACCCAATATGGGACTTGATCCCAGGACCCCGGGATCATGACCTGAGCCGAAGGCAGACGCTTAACGACTGAGCCACCCAGGCGCCCGAGTAAGTCCATTCTTAATCACTTATCTCAATTCCCATATTATACTTTTTATTATTTTTTTAAATTTTATTATGTTATGTTAGTCACCATACATGACATCATTAGTTTTTGATGTAGTGTTCCATGATTCATCGTTTGCATATAACACCCAGTGCTCCATTCAGTACGTGCCCTCTTTAATACCCATCACCAGGCTAACCCATCTGCCCATCCCCCTCCCCTCTAGAACTCTCAGTAAAGACTAGACTTAGAAAAAAAGTTTTATTTGAGAAACAAAGTGAGGTGAAGCAGAGTAAAACTGTAATAAAAATTTCATCTTGACCTCATTAGCAAAATACTTAAACAAATGGAATACTGTGTTTATAAGAAGCTGCAAGAATATGACCTGCCTTTAAAAGTTGTGGAGACAACTCATGAACATCCAAACCCCACATTTGCCTCTTTGAACACATAGAACCAGGGCTAGTTGTAGTCATCAGTGCCATCACCCTTTCTGTGCACACAGTAGGACTGCATTTATTAGGATGACATAGCCATGAACTTGCTCTGGCCAATGAAATATTAGAAGTTGGGGCACCTGGGTGGCTCAGTCATTAAGCGTCTGCCTTCGGCTCAGGTCATGGTCCCGGGGTCCTGGGATGGAGCCCCGCATCGGGCTCCCTTCTCAGAGGGAAGCCTGCTTCTCCCTCTCCCATTTCCCCCACTTGTGTTCCCTCTTGCTGTGTCTCTCTCTGTCAAAATAAATAAAATCTTTAAAAAAAAAGAAAAGAAATGTTAGAAGTTATGGGTGTCACCTTTGAGTAGATGCTTTAATAGCTAGTGCACAATTTGCAAGGTTTCTTTGCCACTGCCACTGACTGCCTTTGCTGCGGATGGTAGAAACTCCTTCATCTTGGTCTCCAATTGCAAAGATTTTGATTAGCACCCTAGCCAATCCACTGTAGACATATATCTTGAGTGAGAAATATGCGTTTGTTCTTCTAAGCCTTTAAAAGTTGAATTTGTTTATTTCTCTACAATAACATAGCCCATCCTGAGTGATCCACACTTGCAAACTCAAGTCATCAAAAATAATTTCAAAATTTTGTATTGTGCCTATATATGTTTTTGTATAATCCCCATTTACTTATATTTATATATGGGCATCACAGAATAAAAGAGATCCAAGTATGCAAAGATTATAGAATGTCATCAGGTTTCAATTTATTAAAACTCCTCACCTCTACATCTTTTTCAATTTTCTGTTAAACTTTTTTTTAAAAGATTTTATTTATTTGACAGGGATAGAGAGAGAGAGAGAGCACAACCAGGGAGAGCGGCAGGCAGAGGGAGAGGGAGAAGCAGGCTCCCCACTGAGGAGGGAGCCTGACACAGAGCTTGATCCCAGGACCCTGGGATCACGACCTGAGCCAAAGGCAGTCGCTTAACTACTGAGCCACCCATGTGCCCCTCCGGTAAACTTTTTAACCTGAGAGAAGAAAACTATATATGTTTCTATAATTATCTAATAGTAAGTACATTTGTTGTACTCTTTTTCACAGGTACAGCACAATTTACTCGTTACTGAAAATAATACCATTTGTTCTTAAAATACATTGCCTAGGAAGTAAGGGTTCATTCTCTAGTATCTCTCAGTGTAATGCTCATATTAAAATATCTAAAACAACTTTGATTTTCATGCATTATCAAAAGGAGTACATATCATCTTGAGGGATTGTACAAATGACTGCACAATTTGTTTAGCAATGCCAAACATTAGAAATGTCATGAGTCAGTTGATGATTCAACAAAAGTCCTTGAGCACCTAGAAACACATCTTTTGTCTGCTGCTACTGTTCCTTGACTTAAGTAACAACTCAGAGACAGAGAGAAGCTGAAGGAGAGTTTAGTTCATCCACCTACACAGAGAGAGATAAATCTAGTTTTCTTGCTTCCAGATAAATGTCAACAATTTTTATGTCATTGAAACAAAAACAAATTTCCAAGCAGGCACTCCCTTCACTTCAGGCAATCTCCTATTTCTGCACTCATGGCAGATCTGTAGACTCTTCGTAGGAAGGTCTGTACATAAATGAGAGTATGCTATATGACAGGAGAGCAAAAGTGAGCAGTTTCTTTGCCATAGCTGCTATTCTTCATTTATTAAGTAGAAATGCATGGAAAGTAATCAAGCTATAGCAGTTCTCTCGTCCGTAATACAGGGCTAATCACATAAGCTACTTCAAGGGATTGTGAGGTTAAAATGAGCTAATCCATACAGACTGCCTGATGTCTAGTGGTTCCATAAATTATAATTGTTATTATGGTAATAATAATTTGCAAGGACATTATTGTTATCTAAATCAATAAATTATATGTGTGTAGACATTTCCTAAGTTCATTTCCATCATCCTTTTTTTTCCCACCCCATACTTATCCAGGCTTCCATTATCAATTCTAAAAAAAGATCCTATGTCTACATACTCAACCCTGATTTTCAAACTGGTATTTCCAATTCCCTCTAGAAAATTTTCACCTGGATGTCCCATCATTTCTCCAAACTCCTAATGTCTACATCATGTGTCATATCCCCAATCCCGGGCTGGCTTTAGACTTGGGTGAGGATGGCCCTTATCTTAGGACCTGACTTAGAGGGGTTTGCTCCTGGCCTTCTCTGACTGCATTCCTCTCCACAGAGCAGAACTTTGCAGGACCAAGAGGTGTCATCACTATACAGATCTTCCTCAACCTTCCATGGAATTATGTTCTGATAAACCCATCATAAATTGAAAATACCCTACGTCAAAAATGCATATAATACACTTAACCTAATGAACATTATAGCTTAGCCTAGCCTACTCTAAATGTTCTCAGAACACTTACATTACCCTACAGTTGGGCAAAATCATCTACCATGAAGGCTATTCTATAATAAGGCATTGAATACTTCATGTAATTTGTTGAACACTGTAATAACAGTGAAAAACAGAAGGGTTATATGGGTAAAGAAAGGTTGTAAGTGTATCAGCGGTTTACACTTGTGAGTGCATGGCTGACTGGGAGCTGCGGTTCACTGTTGCTGCCCAGTATCACAAGAGAGTACCATACTGTATATCACTAGCCCAGGAAAAAATCAAAATTCAAAACTCAAAGTATGATGTTTACTGACTCTGACTCACCTTTGCACCATCACAAAGCTGAAAGTTGAACCATCATAAGTTGGGGACCATCTGTACAGTTCTATCATAATTTCCCTATTTTTTCAAAAGCAAGTAAAACTATTGACAGATTACCAGTCTAAAAGTAAGTTTCCCAATTATCTGTATAAGAATTAAACATTCAATACTTGGTTCATGAAAGCTAACAAAGTCTTACATTTAATATTTCTATAAACAATGCTAGCTGATTTGTTAAATCTCTTTTCTGTCTGTGCTTTGATAATTAGCTCTCCTCCTTCTCTCCATTTTCCACTTCAGAAAACATTTCTGACTTTAACTTCTCAAAATTGGAACTGAACAATTTCTAAGCAGGGAAAAGATAAATGACCATTAATTGAACTGATAATTAACCACCTGAAAATTAACAAAAGACTGAGTCATCATCATTTC